CAAAATCTTTTAAAAATCTTATAGAATCTTTTCAAGATATAGTTTCAAAAGTTATTTGATTAAAAATATAATTATCATAGAATATAACAAAAACTTTAATTCATTTTTAATTTATAAACAAAAAATTAAAATTATGTAATATACTTTTAAAAATATCCCAAATTTTTTTTTATGTATTATGTAGGTCCAATTTAATTTACTTTTTATATATATTTAAAATTTAGAAAAAAAAATTCATAAATTAGTGGTGTTACATAATAATGTTTTTATAAATTGTTACAGAAAATAAAATTTATAAATTTTAAATTAATATATTATAAGCCACATAAATATTATTATAAAATTGGATAGTATTTACAATCAAATTATATTTATTTATTGATAATTTTACTCCATTTGTTTCTTAATATATGATGTTTGGGATTATTGCACAAAGATTAAAAATTTTAAATTCTTTTACAAAAAGTATTTTTAAAGATATAATTTTATAATTATTCAACCAATTATTAAAAAAAAAAAAATTATCGGGTGAACAGTTTCCAATAAAGTTAAAGATAACTTTAAAACCTCAAAATATACCTTAAAATCTCAAAACATCTTCTATTTTAAAATAGAACTAGATTTGGACCCGCGCAACCGCGCGGGTTTTGTTTTCATATATATATATATTTGTTTTATATCATTAATAACGTTAGTCATATGTTTAAATGTTTATATAACTATTACAAACACAATAGTTTTATAGCTTGTACGTTAGTATCAATTGTTTCTTATTATATATTTATCTAATTGGTTTTATATTTAATTATTGATATTAATATATGCATGAAAAATAATCTTATTTTATATATAATTTATACTAAATTATTATTTGAGTTTCAAAGTTAGATTACCGTTTATTAAACTTTTTATGTTTATAAAGATAATATGATATTATAAAAGTTTAAGATATGTTAATTTTTTACATGTATTTATAGTTACTAATGTTAATCCGTTCTGCCAATGTATTATATATTTTTAACATTAATACTTTCTATTTATGAAAATAAGATTGATTGATTTATCAATTTAATATAATTTTATAACATTCACTTTATTATAATAATTTCATTTAATTTGATAGTTTATGATTATTAAATAGATAAAAAGAATAAAATATGTTTTCATATATATATATATATATATATATATTAATGTATAGTTGTTTTCATTACTAATTCGAAATTTTATTCAAGTTATTAATTAGTGAAATATTTATATAATGTTTTTAAAGTTAAGATCTTCCTAAAATCTTTTCAACAGATTTTTTAAAAGGAATTAATACATATTTATATTAAAATAAAAAGATATCAAAGATATTATAATTGAAGTGGTTACAAAGAAATGAAATATATTTAATAAAACTTTAGATAGATGATGTATTATTTTTATCAATTAAAACATCATCTATCTAAAACTGAGTGAGTATTACATAATTTCAAATATTTTCGTATTAAAATACCCGCACGGTTATGCGGGTCGAGATCTAGTTACAAAATTAAAATGAAACGATAATATAAGAATAAGGGGTTGACATAAGAATAAAATCCAAAACACTTGGATATCTAAACAATTATCAAACAATACGTTTTAACAAATTAAAATTATCCGCGCAAAATGCAAATCAACCACCATTCATGAAAATTTTATGTATCTTATATATTAAAAGAGAAGTCACAACTTCTTTTCATGTGTGATTTTTTAAAAATTTGGACCTATTCCTAGAAAATATCAAATTTTACATAAGTTCATTATTATATCTTCTAATATCTTTATATTTTTAAAGGCCCATCATTTTATTTGAAATATAAATCAATATATAAAATGTTCTAACAAAATCTTTTAAAAATCTCTTTAGAATCTTTTTAAATTTACTTTAAAATTAATGAATTTTACTTTAAATTATCATAAAATATAATTAGAAATTAAAACTGAATTTAGTTTTGGCTTCTAAACGAATATTAAATATTAAATATTTTAATCATATTCACTCATAATAAAAATCTTATATATTAAAAGAGAAGTCACAACTTCTTTTCATGTGTGATTTTTAAAAATTTGGACATATTCCTAGAAAATATCAAATTTTACATAAGTTCATTATTATATCTTCTAATATCATTATATTTTTAGAGGCCCATCATTTTATTTGAAATACAATGAATATATCAAATGTTGTAACAAAATCTTTTAAAAATCTCTTTAGAATCTTTTTAAATTTACTTTTAAAATTAGTTAATTTTACTTTAAATTATCATGAAATATAATTAGAAATTAAAATTGAATTTAGTTTTGGTTTAAAAACAAATATTAAAAATTAAATATTTTAATCATATTCACTCATAATAAAAAATGAAATTGATTAATTTTAAAATAGATTTTACTAATAGTTTTAAAATATTTGTTGCAAATAAATATTTATTTTATTTTAATTGTTTTAAATATATATATATATTCTATTAAAATAAAATTCATGATTTATTTATGTGTGATATTTTTATTTAGACCATCATTTAATTTTTTATTAAATTTATATCCTTAATGTTAATAATATAAATATTTTTAACTACTTTAATCATAATATATTTTGATATTTTGAATTTAAGTATATATATAAAAATTCTAGAAAACCTGTTGAAAACAATTAAAACAAGATCTTAATTGCCAAAAATTGAACATAAATATTTTCACTAATTTTATAATTAGTCATGAAATTTATTATATATATATTCAGCTATATTTTATCAAATGAAAAGAATAAAATTATATCATATTTTATCTATTTTCTAATAATATCTATCATTTTAGAAGAAAACCATTATATTGAATTAAATATGATAAAGTTTTTTGAAATTTACATGTTAGTATATTTATGTTAATAAATATAAAATATATAATATGTTCATAAACTATATAATTCATGTATAAAAGTCATTTTATCTAAACTTTTCATATTCAGTAATTTATTATAGAAAATGAATAAATACAAAACAATTGATAATCTAGCGTTTTAAATTACGAGTTATGATCATAATAAATTATATACAAAATAATTTTCAAATATATTGGTTCACACATAAGAAATTGTTTTAATAATCAAATTAAACTTATATATGTGATGGTTTGAATTTACAGCATAAAAAACAATAAAGTTTTTGTATTTAAAATAATTATACAAACATTTAAATATGTGAGTAACATTAAAAAAATCCCTAAACCAAATATTTATATATAAACATGAAAATATATACCCGCACGGTTGTGCGGGTCGAAATCTAGTTTCTATCTTAAATGGATGTAGAAAGACGTCCTATTTGTAATTCTGCTATTATTTTAATTTTTAATGATGATAGACGATTCAAAATCACATTTTAGGTATGTTGTCTAATATTAATCTATATAAATTAAATTGTACATATATAATGATTACTTTGGTGTCATGTCAATATAATAATGATATTTAGCAAAAAAATTAAACTCATTTCTTAAATAGATTTAGGATATTATAATATTTAGAAACTGCATAAAGGTTTTAATTGGTTTGCATAATGAACAACATTTACAAATTATATTTGAGCGGTACATAAATTTTCAAAGAAGTTGATTAAAAAATGGGTTCTTGAATGAAAAATATAACTTCAAAAGTCTCCAAAGATTTTAATTTTTTGAATGCTTTTACTGTTGTTTGGTATATAATTAAAATTAGATTATATATGAGTATTAAACTTTACCATATTTCGAAAATGATTATTTATATAGAAAACTTACTGTAATGTTGATATATGTATTATTAGTCATTATTACTATATTTACAAAATATTACCCAAAATAGAAATCTTTATAAAAGAAATTGTACATGACATGTCATATTTTTTAAATGTTATGTCATCATTTTCTTGCTAAAATGATTGTAGTGATGATACATATACAAATTAGTTCGTAAATAATATTTAAGAGTTATTGGGGGTATTTAGTAATGGCAGCTAAAAACTTGTTTTAGGGTTTGTGAAAAGTTTGTATCGCATTGCTGTGTATGGTAAATTATCAACGATTTTTTTTAAGTGTCAATGATATCGCGACAGACACACAAAAAAACTGCATATTAACATGTGAACATAATTTTTCCATTAAAGAATTGTGGTTCGAATTTTTAAGAACGAAAACAAATTCTGTTCGAAGTACGGTACTTTCCAAAAAAGTTGGAACGAAAATGGAGTTGCTTGCGTGGGAAAATTATTTCACAATCACAAGTGAGCAGAAGATGACATCAGTTAGGCGACAACAGTCAAATAGCTTTCAGTTTTAATAGCGGAGATGGCAGTTTTGCGTAACATGATATCATTGGTAAAGGGAAAAGTCTTCGTCGCGTGTCTGGTCCAAAACAGTAGGGCTCGACACTTCTCCCCTAAAATATATTCCTAAAGTGAAAAATGGCATTTGATTTTCAAAGAAACATATTTTTGTAGGGAGGCTAATTGGTCAAACTCCAAGAGAATATTGTTTTTACAAACCAAATTATCTATATATTTATTTTGCGAATATGTAAAAAAATTAGAAAACAATTTTCAAAAAGGAAAGCTATATTTTTTTACAAACCAATTTATCTTTTGCAAAATATAAGCACAATCATAAACATAAATTAATTCGTTTATCTGGAACAAATACCAAACTTTTTTTTTGATAATCCAGTATCCGACCACTAAGCGTGATCGACTAGCCCACCGGGCCTAAGCCCATGCCATGACAGGATTTTTAAGCGTCCACTTAAGGGTCCCTGGTTACGCAAAGTGGTCTGGAGCGCCACACCAACTCCGCAGGTAAATTATGTGGTGGCCGGGGTTCGAAGTCGGATGGCGGACACCTCAGCCGAGGTTCCTTTACCACCAGGCTACGAAGCCCGGTTAACAAATACCAAACTAAATGCAAAGAAACACACAAATCACAAACAAACAATAAAAACACTAATCAAGTTCTACCGTCTTTCCATCCAACATATTCCAAACTTGCTCAATGTCAAACGCGGAGGTTGCCCCCTTTTCTGTTGCCTCAGCTTCTAGAACGAGCACCTCTTGCTCTTGGCTCTCCTCCAGCAAACTCTCCCACCACATTTTCTCTTCAGCCATTGAATTACTAACAAGGTCACACTTCTCTTGATCAGCTTTGTTACATGTCGTACTATTTTCACAGACATTATTAATGTTGTTGAGTCCAAGGGATAGAGGAACAACGTCAACTTCTGGCAGACCATGGAGATGGCTGCCACCGTTGTTAACAGTGAAGGATCGAGGTTGAGGTTTGAAAACGTCAATATTTTGGGCGGGTGTCGTAGAAGAGGATGGAATATTTCTCTTTATCATCTTGGTCTTACAACATTGTTCGTGTTTTTTACTCAAATGGGTGTTCCAGTAATTCTTTACATCATTAGCGGTTCGACCGGGTAGTCTACCAGCAATTAAGGACCACCTAAGCATGCATTTTAACGATTGGATCTGTATGACTTAGTATTGGATTATTAGATAGGAAATAAATTAAGTTGAATTTGTGTCTTAAGAATACAAACCTGTTTCCTAGAAGCTTATGAAGGCGAAGAAGAAGATCAACTTCATCAGAGCTAAGTTTTCCTCTCTTGATAGTTGGCTTCAAATAGTTCAACCATCTTAGTCGACAACTCTTCCTACACCGATTAAGCCCTACAAAAACCAATAGTTTTCTCATGAAGATTTACACCATTAAAAATTATGTATTATTTACTCACAAAGACACGTCTTCGTACAGAAAATTTCACTAAGTTCATGTACTAAACGACAAAGCAAAAAAGAGTTGGCATCTTTTCGCTTTGTCAACGGAAGTAAAGTAGTCTTAAATACAGATCTTCGTTTAAGTTCGACACAACTAATTATGAACAACATGAATGTTCTTTTCATGAACAACCTTATAGCATGAAATAAAGTAGTCTTAAATACAGATTTTCGTTTAAGTTCGACATAACTAATTATTAACAACATGAATGCTTTATTTTCATGAACAACCTTATAAAGCACGAGTCAATGATTTGTTTATTAAGAAACAAAGAAAAACAGTTTATTGTGCAGCCATGTGTTAATGAATTCCCCGAATAGTAGTATATTATATATATATACATGCATGTGAGTGTGTGAGTGTGTGTGTCTGCAAAAGAGAAAAGTAACATACCAGCTCTTAAAGGAACTTGATGCCATTTGCCTTCTCCAAATATACCAATGCATCGCCTCAAGAGACTATCTTCTTCAGCCGTCCATGCACCTTTTCTTAACCCTTTGGGCGAACCCTCCATGGACCAAAGATAGATATTAAAATATCTAACCAAATTATTGTAAAATCTAACGTAACTGGACGAAGAAAAGGGTTTATGAGTTGTGGTTTCACAAATCATTGTAGGAGTTTATATATATACACGTGAGGGACATAGGGAGCGACGTGCATGGTTGATATCCACATTTCCTCTTTTTTTTTGTCGTGTTTATTTATTAAGCAATTTAAAGAAAATACAATTCTAGTAGTAATAAATTAAGAGTAAGAGCATCATTATCTTAGAGACTCATTAAGGATCTTTTAATTAATTTTTAATAGTATTTAAAGAGTACATTTGGTTAAGAGATTTTGTTAAGAATTTTCAATCAATTAGTCTTCCATTGCTAGTTTCTTATTTTAGGCTTCTTAAAAAAATACAAAAAGAGATGTCAACTTATGAACATATACAACACTAGTTACATGAAAATAAGAACATATACTTTCCAGTCATCACTCGTCGGAAAGTAAACATATTTTGGTATTAAGAGAGATTCATCTAATGAGAAAGAAGATACATACACTCTAGCTAAATCAACATGAACGCGCAGTCCATTTTCAACAACCATAGTCACCAGGGAATGGTTTCCGGCTAAAACCTCTAGTTGCATTGTTCTGAAGTCATTGTGAAGAGGACCAATCTTATTCGCAACGGTTTGTATCATTGGCTGATTCTTATCCAGAACTACCTGACAAGCAAAAGAAAATAACAAAACAGCTCACAAAATTTCAATTTCTGAGGCCAGGGGATATTTTTGTCTAATACTTAAGAAATGTCCACTAATCACCTTGGCAATGAGCGCCTCGTATAAGGTAGATGCTCGTCTCTAAGGCTGAGATGCGCAGTATGTCCCACCATCTCAAATGCTGAAGGCACAATCATACCCTTTGGCAGTAAAGCTTCCAATACCTACATGAACACATACTTTAAAACAAACCAACTCAAACAGAACCTATCAATCAGAAACCATATAACTCTCTAAGAGTCTCCACGAAATCAAAACTAGTCTACTGAGGAATATAAGGGAAGATAAAACTACGGCCAGAGGAGACAAGAACTAGAACCCTGTAACAACTTCAGATCTAACAAACAGAAACGAGAAAATCTATTTTTAAAAAACAATGCAAAGAAACAAAAGACCTGTAAACAAACCCATGAAGTAAAAATGGATTAAACATAATTGGTTCTTTCCTAATTCAAGAGCAGGAGGTGATTATTGCGCTGGAAACAATCTTAACTACTTCAACAAAAGAAGTTATACAAGAAGGGTTGATGAAATAACTTACCAGGGTCACACTCATGGTAAAACTACTTCTGCATAAACAAAATCAACAAAGAAAATGAGAAAAAATTTATCCTCAGGAATGAAGAAAACGCAATTGAACATGCACACAAAAAAAATCATCATTATCTTCATCATCAGCTTCCCTGATTGGATCACCAGCTTCCCTGATTTCAAAAAAAAAAAGAAACGATTTTGATCCATATATCATACCCAAACCCCATGTCACCTAAAACCCTAGAACTTGATAAAGCTCACAGCTTTACACAGGATTGGCGAAATCTAACAAGTGGGTATTGAAATTGGAACTAACCATGACCAGGTAAGGGCACTTGGATCCAACTGCATCCCGAAACTCTCCATCGCTATCACCGTCGACCTTTGGTTCTCTTCTTTTCTCCCTCCCAGATCAACTCCCAACAAAGCGGCAAGCTCCAAAGCCGATGGACAGCCGGTGAACCCTTCCACGGTGGAACGTACACGAGAGAAGGAGAGAAGGAGGGAAGATGATTCGGTTGAGAGAGAGAATGGTGAGATAATGACACGTGTCCTATAAGACCAGTTCGCTTCTTGCTCTTCAAATCTGAAAGTGCATCTTAATTAAGCAACGTCTCTTGTGTAACTACACAATATTTTGTTTTAAAGCTAAAAATCCTAAATACTCCGGTTAAGAACCCGCGATAACGGTGTTCTAAGGGTGATTAATGCTTGGTGGCAAATAGTTTTTGTTATTACAAGGGGGAGTATGATCATGCACCAAAATTAAACAGAGAACAGAGAGATACAGTGGATGCATATCTTACAAGTTTTGTTCGCATAGTATTTGAAATTCATTTGAGAATGAGATGGTATGATAACAAAACAAAGAAGATGAGCAAACTAGCCTTTCTCTGCAAAAAATAACAGAGCATGGCTACAAAGATTCAGGATTGGATCAGTCATAAAGTGTCCAATGAAAATCGTTAGATGTGAATATGTTAGATACCTGTGTGACATCCACGCAAGGCAGCGGAGCATTAGCAGTGCCTTCCAGATCAGCGAGCCGTATTTCTTGTCATGCATATTCCATATCATATGTTTCATTTTGTTGCAATAAGCTAATATTTCATTTTGTTGCAATAAGCCATAATTTTTTCTTGCCTGAAGGAGACAAAAGAAATCTTTTTTGCCCCAGGGCTGACAAAGAATTGAAGCCGACCCTGATTTTGCTTATCATTTATATTGGTAGTACAATGAGTTAAAAAGAATTTCAAATATTATTCCATTTTTTTTCTAAAATTGAGCCTCACTTTCATGTAATTTCATTTTGTAAAAACGTAAAATAATGAGTAAATATGTACATTCATTTCTTATGTTTATTTATTAGCTAATAAAAAAAGTAGTAAAAACTGGAGAATATTTTATTGCAAACGATATTTTTGAGTGTAAAATTAAACATGATTAGAAATAATTTTATCCGGGATAGAAATTCCATATTCTCTCAATCAAATTTCAGATCGGGTATATAAACACTAACTGCCAACTGGCAAGTGGCAATGTGAATGAAAGTTTGATAAAAATTCCTACCGAAACTCATTTGATTTGACTATCACATTTAATTTAACATTAAAATTTTGAAAAATGGTTACCGACATTATCGTTTCTCTCCTTAATAACAATCATTTGAGCTTATTCGGCCGCGTACACGATCCATTCCACACACTCCATTAATAGCTACAAATTGAATGTAACTGTAAGTAAGCAACACACAACGCTCTCGTCAGAAATGGCTAATCACCACCGACTCTTACGCGGCGGCGGATCTCCGGCGATTACCAGATTCGGTTCCAGAATCAGACTCACAGCTTTCGTCGCCACCATCGCACTCTCCATCTTCGCTCTCTCCTTCCTCTTCGCTTCCGACTCTAACGATTCACCTGATCTTCTCCTTCCCGTAAGTTCTCTCCATCAGATCTCTCCGATACAAATCCGATTTTTGATTTTGAGTTTAATTTTCGAATCTCTCTTCATTTTTTTGTGGAGTTTTAGGGTGTTGGATACTCAAACGGAGTCGGATCCATAAGAAGATCCATGTTGGATATCAAACCGGATCCGCTCAAGCCACGCCTCCTCCAGATCCGAAAACAAGCCGACGATCACCGATCACTAGCACTAGCCTACGCCTCTTACGCTCGCAAACTCAAGCTCGAGAACTCGAAACTCGTGAGAATCTTCGCGGATCTCTCAAGAAACTACACAGATCTGATCAACAAACCTTCCTACCGAGCTCTCTACGACTCCGACGCGTCCTCAATCGACGAATCAACTCTCCGTCAGTTCGAGAAAGAAGTCAAAGAACGGATCAAAACGACTCGCCAAGTGATCGCCGAAGCGAAAGAGTCTTTCGATAACCAGCTCAAGATCCAGAAGCTCAAGGACACGATCTTCGCCGTCAACGAGCAGTTAACGAACGCTAAGAAGCAAGGCGCGTTCTCGAGCTTGATCGCTGCGAAATCGATCCCCAAGGGGTTGCATTGTCTCGCCATGAGGCTGATGGAAGAGAGGATCGCTCATCCGGAGAAGTATACTGATGAAGGGAAGGTTAAACCGGCTGAGCTCGAGGATCCGAGTCTTTACCATTACGCGATTTTTTCGGATAATGTGATTGCAGCTTCTGTTGTTGTGAACTCCGCTGTTAAGAATGCGAAGGAGCCGTGGAAGCACGTGTTCCACGTGGTGACGGATAAGATGAATCTTGGAGCGATGCAGGTTATGTTTAAGCTCAAGGAGTATAAAGGAGCTCATGTGGAAGTGAAAGCTGTGGAGGATTACACGTTCTTGAACTCTTCTTATGTGCCCGTGTTGAAGCAGTTGGAGTCTTCGAATCTTCAGAAGTTTTATTTCGAAAATAAGCTCGAGAACGCGACGAAGGATACCACGAATATGAAGTTTAGGAACCCGAAGTATCTGTCGATATTGAATCATTTGAGGTTTTATTTGCCTGAGATGTATCCCAAGCTGCATAGGATACTGTTTTTGGATGATGATGTGGTTGTGCAGAAGGATTTAACGGGGCTTTGGGAGATTGATATGGATGGGAAAGTTAATGGAGCTGTGGAGACTTGTTTTGGGTCGTTTCATCGGTATGCTCAGTACATGAACTTCTCGCATCCTTTGATTAAAGAGAAGTTTAATCCCAAAGCATGTGCGTGGGCTTATGGGATGAACTTCTTTGATCTTGATGCTTGGAGGAGAGAGAAGTGCACTGAAGAGTATCACTACTGGCAAAATCTGGTAACCCTTTTTTGCGATACGTTTCTGCCTTTTGACAATAATGTGTTATTGACCTTTATTTGTTTGAATTACAGAACGAGAACAGGGCTCTGTGGAAGCTGGGGACGTTACCACCGGGGCTGATCACGTTTTACTCGACCACAAAGCCGCTGGACAAATCGTGGCATGTGCTTGGGTTGGGTTACAATCCGAGCATTAGTATGGATGAGATCCGTAATGCTGCGGTGGTACACTTTAACGGTAATATGAAGCCGTGGCTGGACATAGCTATGAACCAGTTTAGGCCGCTTTGGACCAAACACGTTGATTACGACTTGGAGTTTGTTCAGGCTTGCAATTTCGGCCTCTGAAGTATGAATACTTTCCTTTCTCAAAACCTGAAAGCAAAATGTTGTTATAGCTTTATGAATTTTTTAAAGTTAGTTTGTTCTGTCTGTTTATTTTATATATTTTTGAGGGAATTAGAATAAATGTATTTTGTTCACTGCCATCGTTTAATCAAAGCTTATATATATTATGGTTACTTATGAGTTGTGAGCCTAGCTAATTCAACAGTTGTCGTCCCATATAACCTTGACTTGGTATGTATCATAGCGGATCATATCCCATCTCTAAGCTCTTTTTATTTACAAATATTGATGGTTGATCATTTTAGCATCAAACAGGAATGGTTGTAAACTTGTAATTCGAACTATCGTCCTGTTCGGACAAAAAAATGATGAATAAAAGGATGCTTAAAAAAGATCTCCCGTGGTTATTTTTTCTTTGCCGGCGACAACGAGATGTAGTTGAACGATCTAAACTAGTCTATTTTGACAGTTCTTAAACTTGTCTTAAACATTCTTAAACAAAAAAAGCAGAAAAAGGAAGAAACATGTCTTGATTTATTTACCATCTAGTTCGGTTAATGGTAGCTTAACTTGACGAAAATACAAAACAAAACGTATCGGTTTTCATCTGTACCGATCTAAACTGGCATCTTCAGTACAAGCTGACCCTCCACAACACTGTAAGATATAATTATACACATCATCAAAATTGCCAAGTCCCAAATCTTTACTACATATTTAAATCATTTATGCATCTAGTTCTCAAAATCTGCGATTACCTTTTGACATAGTAGTAGCAAAAGTCGGCAAGGATGAAGGTTTGAATGAACTCAGCTACTAGAGCCACCGGAAACCAAAAGTAACCAGCGCCGATCAGCCATAGGTAATGTCCACGAGTTTCATAGACCTTATACATTTTCGAAGCATTAGTCTCTTTAACTTAATAATCATGGAGCTTAATGATTACGTGCGAAAGAATCTTAAAACTTTACCTGGATAAGCCAATGAGCGCATGCTAAGAATCTAGCGACTCCCAGCGCAAACACGTAGTGAGCTGTGAAAGGCTCAATGATCTGTAACGATTATTCGAGAGAAATATCACACTTTATATTTTATAGATGGTTGGATTGATCATGGACTTAAGGCTAGACCAATAGATATATTACTAAAAACTTGTATCATGGCAATGTCGTGGATAAGAATTGATCCTGGTACTAGTTAAAAGTGCCAACTCTACATGGGCATAAATAATTAAAAGCGGCTTACTTTAGCGTTCTGCATTAATCGAAGCTGAGGCAGAACAGAGACAGATTCAGAGTAAACGCAAAACGCCCACATGACACGGTGGATGTAACTATAACTCGTGTTCGGGTGGATAATCAACGCAAATATAGCAGATGGAACAAGCTGGTGGAGAAAAACATGTTACTTGAATCATTTTGACAGATGAAACAGTCACATTCTTTAAATAAAAACCATATTACCACATAGTAATTGTGGCAGGTGTCTAGAGTCTTTATATAAGACGCTTTCAGCTTAAAGCGAATCATATAAATGACCCATAGAGTTGAAACAAAAGTGGCGAAATCGAGAACTGTGTGGATATCACCTTCCATGTTTATGCTGCAGATCAGTCTCACAGCAAGAAACACTGCTGTCACTTCTTGAGACTTTAAAGAAAGACCTAATGTTTTACACCATTTCACATTTTCATCAGCCAAACCAAAGTTTAGAGTTTATTAGTGTATTATTACACGACATAAAAACATAAATATTCACTTATTTAACAAGTCAGATTAGTTGTACAGTTTGTAAAATGTAAGCATGCATGGTTATTACCGGAGCAAGTCTTTTGTCGGGTGAGTTTGTAGATGAGGATTATGATACCGGTTGCATGGATGAGCTCAGAAGCAACAAAAAAGTGATTGTAATTCTTAACGGCGAGTTTAAGAAACACGACGAGGAGCAGAGAGAAGATTATCCCTAAAGTTATCTTAACCTTCTTCGATTGCTTTCTCAGCCACCCGAAAAACACGTTCACGGCGGAGACGCCTCTTCTCTTCCCCATTTTTTGGTTTGAATCTGATAATCAAATCACTTTGTGTATTATGTGTGTGTTTCAGAGATTTTTGGCGACGTTGCTGATATTGAAGGATACGTTTTGTTGAGTGAGGGGAGACACGACAAGGGCATGCAGCTGGTGACATGGAGATTTTATTTTCTTAGCAAATAGTACAGCGACACTTACTACTGATGGTTTTTAAGTCTTAACTAGGTGATTGTGCGTGAATTAACAGGATATTGGTATGAAAATATATATATTATGCATGTATGTCATAAATTCTGAATAATAATAAAAAATATAAAAGATAATTTTTAACTCAAACTAGCAAGGTATTACAACAAACAACAGAAAATATAAGAACTAATAAACAGCAATAAAAGGAAGAAAACAAAGAGGACAGAGCGAAGAGTGACTACATAGTCGACAGCGATGAGCCAGCTACTTCTCTAATGGGTAACTCCAAAATACCCATGTAACTTTTTTTTTGTCCAATTCAAACCATAACGGATGACTTGCGTTCAAACTTAATTCCCTTGATTTTTCAAGGTTGTCAGCGATCATCTTGAGTCTCCCCACTCCGCTCTTACCTTGCAAAGCACTCATAGTGGAGAGTAAGATCGACTTTACAGACATACCTAAATCGACTTCTCTTGATTCACTTGTCTTGGATCATGAATTGATTCCTTTCATATGTCCGATTCTTCTTCATTCCAACATATGGCTGGTAGTACCAGTGGAGGTGGTTGAAACTAACACGACATGGGAATGGAAGAGATCGATGGCAAAAATTACCGTCGACCTCCTAAAACGATGAAATTTGAAAGTGAAAACTAAGGTCTAATAGGGAAAGAGATAAGTCAATAAGGAGAAAATCTTCTTATCCTCTTTTACTTTTTTCATTAAACGGAAAAAAAAATGAAGATAAGACAAGTAAAATTACTAACATTTTCAACAATTAATACATACATGATTATGGATATGAAAAGGGATAGAAGTGTTGTGAACTATTACTACAGACTACAAAGTGCATATTAAAGTTACAAATTTCACACATATATATGTATATCTCAAAATTTAATCTCAAATGCCGTGCTGTTAGTGAAACTACTAAGATGTTAAATATTTTTTAAACATTTATATATATATATGTATCAAATTTCAAATGTTTCTTTTAGGATTTATTAAGATGAACTAATAACGTACTAACTTAACAGTATATAGTATCCTTCACTGAAAGTTATGGGTAGTAGATTTGTCCTCCTTAAATTTATATTCGCATACTTGAGGGGGCATATTTGGGGGAAAATGCATGCAAGATCTCATTAAGAATAAATAGATCGCACTAATAAAATAGATTTTTTTACAAAAATAAAAATAAAAATAGATCATGAGATGATGTTAGCAATGACATAGCACCCAAAATGATGTAAGCAATGACATGGCACATGACAAAAAATTGTGTCTAACATTTTAAATACACAGATACTACATAAACAAAATTAGAAACATGTTGTTTTTGTTGTTGTTTTCTTACCACGGCTAAGATTTATTTCAGACGTTCAGTGTATAGATTTTTACTAGATAAGTATTCAATTTACTTTATACTGTTAAGAAAAAGTTAAACTATTATATCAATATAAGATATGAGATTATTTGTAAATATTTAATCTTCGGACGCCTTTTGAGCCCTACGAAATGAATATTAGTAATCTAGCAAGATTCAGCAAATAGGTCACACTTGAATCATTATTGTTACTTTGTTAACTGAAAACCGTTACCGATTTAACCAAAGACAACTACAATTAGGGGAAAATTAATTCAAATAGTCAACGCCTTAAAAAATACACCACATTCCCCATTTCACCAATATGTTTATCACGAATTCACGATGACACTTTTGGGTGGCTATATAAATGATAAACCCATCCGACTCTATTTCCACTCCAAAGCAGTATAGTGTCCAACGTTACGGTTTCCACCACTACTACCACCATTCTTTCACTTTCTTATATACATATATTATTAGGTAATAAGTAGAGCTAACTAATAAACAAATCTTCCTATTACTATTTTTCTATAAAAGGCGTGAGCTCTCCACAAGCCTTCTCATAACAAAGTTGAAGTATTACTTAGTAAAACAATTACCTACCATGGCTTCCACCTGTGAGGTTTCAGAAAGAAGCAGCCCAAGGCAACAGAAAATCCGTCCAAGAGCAGAGGAGGAAGTGGACTACATGCAGAGAGCTCAGTGGCTAAGAGCTGCCTTGCTCGGAGCCAACGATGGTCTGGTCACAGTCGCGTCGCTCATGATGGGTGTTGGTTCTATCAAAGAAGATGTCAAAGCAATGTTGCTTGTTGGTTTTGCCGGCCTTGTAGCAGGTGCGTGCAGTATGGCCATTGGAGAGTTTGTGTCTGTGTGCACACAAAGGGATATTGAAACTGCCCAGATGAAGAGAGCTATTGAGACTAAGACAACACTATCGGCAATCGACGAAGATGAGGTAAAGTGTATACACAGTAACCATGTGGTGTCTAAACACTAAACCTTTATTACTCAAATAAATAAATTTATATTACGTATCACCCATATATATATATATATATATATATATATATATATATATATATATATTTGCCACGGTTTAGTGAAAGATTGGTAATCCGTCACTATTGTTTTGTATCTGAAAAGTTAATCTATAGTATAAATCTTGCTTCAATATGTGTTAGATTGATATAAATTTGTTGTTTTCTCCAAGCTGAATAACCACACATTAATTTAAAACAAAATTTGTTTTCGCTTAAAGTTTTACCGTCTATATATATATTCTGGAAATTATTTGTGTCACCAAAACGTTTTTTTTTTTGACATATGAATGCTAATATATAAATTGGCATTTTAAAACAGTTGAAACGCTATGTATATGAGATACTAAGGTTCTGGATGATACATGATACTTGAACCTTAATGACATGACATTTGATAATTTATATATCAACGTATAGCTGAAAAAATATATCTTAACTTAATGGCAGGAGGAGAAGAAAGAGCGGCTACCAAATCCAGGACAAGCAGCGATGGCATCAGCGTTAGCGTTTTCAGTGGGAGCAGCAATGCCGCTTCTTGCAGCTGTATTCATAGAAAATCATAAGGTAAGATTGGCAGTAGTAGCGATTGTGGCCACCCTTGCATTGTTGGTGTTTGGAGTGACCGGTGCAATCCTGGGAAAGACAAGTGTGTTCAAGTCAAGCGCTAGGGTGGTGATTGGTGGCTGGATGGCTATGGCTCTTACCTTTGGTCTTACCAAGTTCATTGGTTCCGAAGCCGTGCAAATATAGACACTCGTTTGGGTGATCTTCTTGTTTTTATGCATCTCAATTAATGTTTGTTGTGTCTGTATCATAGAAGCACACTATCTCACCTCAACTATGCATGAAATGTAGAATAAATCAAGCGCTCAACAAACACAAAAAAAAGTCAAGTAAATGGTTTTGTCAATTGACCTTTCATTTGACAGTTATACTTATTTGATAATACCTAGACGTTAGAACATCTCTAAAAATATTCTCTACTTTAATGTTTGCAAAACTTTATATTTGAAGTTTAAATGTGTTATACTCCAAAACCAAAATTTCAAACTTAACTTCAAACTATTTGTATTGTATAATGGTCATTATATTTGTCATGATAACTAATTCAAATTCATAAAACTTTTATAAATAACTATCACATATATAAAAATATTACAGCGATATTAATTGATAAAATATTACACTAAAATATAAAATTATAAATAGAAACATATAATTAAATATTAAACTACAAACAAAATACCACACTAAGTCTTGTAATGTTACAGTCTTGTCATATTGTTATTGTATAGTTCTAGTTTTAAAATATTTTAAATCTTATCTTCATGTTCTCTTACAAAAATGTAAAATTTAGGTTTATAAAAGTAATTTGAAATATTATGTGATAAGAATTTTTAAGGAATAAAATAATAAGAAACAAAATATTTAAGAATTATAAATATGATGTGTAATTGTAAGGACCAAAATATAAATAAAATATAAAATTCAAATTTGAAGTTTTGAGTAGTGATATTCTATATTTGAAGTTTCATTATTTAAAACTTTAAATTTGAAATTTTAGATTTTTTTTTTGGAAAATAAAAAATTTCATATTTGAAGTTATAGAATGTATTTTGGAGATGTTCTAAGTGTATTCATTAAACCGCTGAAAAAGTATCCAAACGTAACTGTAAGAACTTGTTACTGGTTAGAGAAAAGAGTTTTTTTAAAGTACTAGCATATCTAAACTCGAGGCTAGTGTAAGATGGGTGTGGGGTGGGTAAAATAGTAACAATTTTGATATATACTTAAATCTGCCCACACAGTATTTTATTGAGAGCCTTTGAAAGAAAAAAATGTGCATGTTGTACGTATTTAAAGTAAAAGTTTTTTTAATTGATTACTTATGCAAGAGTTTCAAGTTTCTTTTGGTTATAATAAATTGTTCACCATGGAATCGAAAGGTAAAAACGGTGGACTAGCTTTTTTTACATGGATTCTTATGATGTGTCGATTTTGTACTATGATAAACGTATGATCGACATAGAAGCCACCATTGAGGGACACAAAGTCTACATGACATTTATATATGGTGATCCAATCGTTGAGTGCCGTGAATATGTGTGGGAGCGTTTGAGTATCAATAGAACAGGGGCATGGTTCATGTGTAGAGAGTTTAACAAAATTGTAGGGAATCATGAGAAAAAAGGAGGAAGAAAGAGAGCAGAAACATCCTTCCTTCCCTTCCGCTTAATGTTGTCAAATTGTGGAATGATAGTTCCCTTTTAAGAGTAACCAGATGTCGTGGGTTGGCTATCGTAACTCCCCGGAAAAATCCAATGTAGATTGGATAGATCCACTGGAAACAAAGAGTGGCACCACTGTTTTTCCCACATAAATGTGGAGTATTTAAAATTATGGGGTTCAGACCATAGGCCGGTCTTAACACGCATCTAGTCTCGAAACGTAAGACTGCGCAGTCTTTCCGGTTTGATCGGTGATGGCTCTTAAAAAGATGGCTTGAAAGAAGCCATTGAAGAAGGGTGGGGCCTCCAAGATGATACTAGTTCTCGATCAATTCATGTTAAAGTGGGAGATGTACGACGAACTATAGCCCGTTAGAAAAAGGACAACCCATCGAACTCAAAGAAGAAGACTGAGGCAATAAAGGAGTAACTAGAGAAGGCACAAACTGATACAAGTATTCCAAGTGAAGATATCCTAAATCTAAACTGGAACCTGTGTGCAGCGTTTCGAGAGGAGGAGCTCTATTGGCGCTAAAAGAGCCGATCTTTATGGCTAAAAGATGGAGACCAAAATACCAAATTTTTTCATGCCGTACCGAAACAAAGACGAGCTAGAAACTGCATTATAAAACTCAATACCCCACGGGGTTGATGGGCTAAGAAGGAGACGGAGATTGAAAAAGTGGCATCAGATTACTTTCAAGGCATTTTCACATCATCGGAGCCGGGAGATTTCAAAGAAGCTCTCCGGTATGTTACCGCGAAAGTTACACTGGCCATGAACTCAACGCTGGTAAGACCACCAACAGATACATAAATCAGAAAGGCAGTTGGAGAAATCAATCCTGATAAGGGCCCACGACCAGACCGTATGACTAGCCTTTTAAAATGATGGTATATAGTATAACAGAAGAAGAGGAACTCAGACCATATTAATTACAGGAATTAAATATAATCATTTTATTGATATAATATTTACAAATAATAATATTTCTAGGTGAAGCACTACATATGACAACAATGACCTTGGTGCACATGCACAAATAACACGGTAACAAACTGAACATTTACAATTCATGACCTCTTATTATTAAAACATTGTAGAGAACAAATAGTATATTTTTCAAAGAACTTTAAGATAGACGCAAATTTGCAGCGAGATTTACACCCATCACAAATAAGTCGATTTATATGATTATTAGGAATCACAGAAAATCGTATATCCTCATTTCCTGGTTTAATCCATATGAAGTCTCCGAGCGTACATTTGATATGAAAAGTGATACCACAATAATCACATGAATAAAACCATTTATTAGGGTTTAGATCTTCTTCACATACCTCGCACCAGTACTGCTCAGTCGTCTTTTCTCCATAGCATAGATACAAAAAATGATCTTTATCATTTTTGTGTTTAACCATTTTTGGCAAAGTAGAGCATTTAATATCTAAAACAAATTCACATTCTTCGCAGCTCAAAACCGTAATTGCGTTATTTCCACAAGCATTACAACTTTTGTCTCCTGTTGAGTAATTGATGTATAAAGAATGAGGATGACTTTCATGGACAAAAGGCTCAGAAATAGAGCCACAACGCACATCAAGGGAGACATGATGATCATCACTTTGATATACAAAACCTCGAAAAAAGTTTTGACAAGCATTGCATATATATAAACCATTAATCTTATTTGGTAATAAAGTCAAAGGCAACATGTAGAAGGAGTCTTTTATCTTCTTAGGAAGATAAGCACATTTCTGATGAATGCTGAACTCATCACATTCCATGCAATCATAGAAGGGGCTAGAAAATATGGGATATGTACATATGTTACACCACATGCATTCATCATTAGCATCAATCCCTTCTTTAAGTTTTATTGTATGTTTCTTGTGACTAAAATGCTTTATAACTCCTTCTTTGATTGCCTCATGTGAATTTAAATCTGTAGTATCTTCAAATATGTCTTCATGTTCAACTCCATCCCAAATCCCAACCTTTGTGGCACATTTAACATGAAATGCTAAACCAGGACATTTCAAACAAGAATAAGCTCCACATGTCCATAGTATATCTTTCTGGCACACTCCGCATTTCCAATCTCCGACATTAAGGCGTTGATTGTAACGGATACGATCAGCATGACGATTAATTTTTATGATTTGTGGTATGTTTATACAGCTTCTATGAATCATGAAATTGCATTGAAGACATACATACGGATTTGGATCGTCAGTCATTCCACAAGCATTACAAACAAAAGCTCGTTGAGACAAAAGAGTGAGTTGATGTGCATGAGCTTTTGGGTCAAACAGAGTGACACAGGGTGGACTCTTTACACAATCAAGATCCACACTGAAGTTGCAGATGGAGCAATGATAAAACACAATATGAAGCTTGCTTCCACACAAGCAACATTTCCCATTTGTGTAACTTGGAACACATGTGAGACGGATGAGAGGGTGATAAGGATGACAAGAGTAGTTGATCTCTGGAGGAGATTCAGCGCAATCTTTGTGAAAACTCAGATCACATAAGTGACATTTGTAAGGGAACCGATCATCGACCAGTTTACATATATGACAAGAAAACATTGTCATATCCGGAACAAGGTATAAAGGATGCTCATGGGTCTCTGTATCTTGAATCATCTCTATAACACTCTTTTTTGCGCATATCAAATCGATTTCAAAATCACATATTGAACAATAATAATACATTTTGGGTAATTTACCTCTACAAAGCTTGCATTCACCATGGTCATCTTCGATTTCTGAAACTAGCTTGATTTTTAACGTATGTTGGGTATGATATGGGTTGAAAACTTCTTGCTTAGAGTTGGCGCATTCCTTGTGGAAGAATAGTCCAGAACGAAAGCAACGATAACCATCACTACAGTAGTTTGCACCAAGATTGCATGCAGCACATTTTAGTCCGCGTGTTTCGTATGTTGAATAAACTTTATCGAGTACTTCCATAAATGAAATAAGTATAAGCTTTTTAGTGTTTTCAATATTTTTCTGTATGTTTTGGTTTAATTGAGAGGTTACCTTATAAATCATATGATATAAGACCACTATCTCAAGTTATTCATTGTTCAAATGAAAAGTATACTCATAGAATTATGCTTTTCTTAATATTGATGATATGCAAACTCAATAAATAAATTATTCTACCTTAAGTTATGGTGACTTTTTCGTCAGAAAATGAAAAGAAAGCCAAACCCATCAAATAATGTTAAGAATATTTATACATCGGAGTTATTCTTTGTTTAATTAACAGGAAAAAACTATGAGAATACTTATCTGTAACAAAAAGGTACTAGAAGGATAAACCAATAAACAAGTAAGGTCAAATAAAGAAAAAAATAATTATTGTAAGGAAAAGAGGTAAATCAAATTTGTCTACTTGGCTAACATAAGCAATCCTAAAAAATAGTAATATAAAAAAAGCAATATTCAAAAAGTCATGTCCATTTTAATTTGGTCAAGTCATATTAGACCTACCAGATAGTCAACTTTGATCTAATATGTTTTCGCCAAATCTCAAACAATAGTTTTTTAAATGAACTAGTCAGCGATTGCACCAACTCAAAAATTAGGACCTTATTCTAAATTACCCTATTACCTTCTTACAAACTTTTAATATTACTGACCCAACTACACCAAATCACCAATGACGGATCTACCCACCCACCCAAATCAAATTAAAAATAAATTATTTTAAAGAGATTATTTGCTCCCACACCCCAAATGGGGGTCTATATTAGTGATTTGTCCATGATGGGACTGATCCGTTTTATATGACGAAATTGCCCTTCCTTTTACATGCATGTGACTCTCTCTCTCTCTCCTGACGCACTCTCTCTCCTGACACTCTCTTTCCTTTGATTCCTCTTCTTTCTCATTCCCAAACTCTCTTATAATGTTAATACCTTTTTTTGTGTAAAAATTTATTGTTGTGAAAACATTTATTACTATTTTACTACTATTCTTATGAATCTAAATTATTTTAATTACACCACATTCTGAAAAAATCAGCATTGAAGTTTTTTTTTTAAATCACCGAGATGTTAACACTTATGTTAGCTGTTAACAAAATAATGTAGATGTCAACAAAAGTGTTAACTGTTAACAAATACATGTACCAGATGTATTAACAGAGGCATTAACTGTTAACAAAATTTGTAAATGTTAACAGATGTGTTAGTTGTTAACAAAGACATGTATTACAAGTGCTAACAGAGATGTTAGTTGTTAATAAATTTTGTAGATGTCAATACATGCGGTAGGTATTATATGTTAACAAGTAAATTATGTTGAAGTTTCATTTATCTATCAAAATGAGTAAATTTAAAAATTATTTACAAATAAAATTGTAGATGAGAAAAAAAAATCATGAAAAAATAGTGAAAAAGAAAGAAATGAATGTGAAAAAGAGTTATGTAAAAAATATGTGTAGTTTAAATAAAATGAATGTAAGAAAGAGATGAAGAATCGTTGGAGAAAGAGAGATGTCCGATATTTCACATGGGAAAGAGAGAGTGAGAAGGGTAAAATCGTCTGAACAAGCATAAATTGTGTAAAACTTTACTCTTATGTCAAATCATGGGTATTTCCCTAATATCAACATTAAATATGGGCATTTGCCTAATTATCTCTATTTTAAAATGTTTTTAATCCTAGAACAAAATATCTCAATCTCTTTTTCTCTTTCTCAATTGGCATCTTCTCCATCTGACTCTTTCTTCGAAAAGTATTCTTATATGCCTAGTTAGAAAATTTCTATTTTTATAACCTTCACCCTTTTTCTAACTACCCCCATATTTTCTTTTTATCTTCTTACCCTTTTCCTTTTATTATTTTTTCTTTTCTTTTCAAATATTGCGGAACCCACCATTTTTTGGGGTGCGTCCTATTTTTTTTGTGCAGACCAGATTATTTTTTAAAATTTTATTTTATTTTTTTTGGGTGGATCCCATATTTTATTTTAAAAGTATTTTTTAGATTTTTTCGAAATTGTTAAATGATTAATATAGCCATAACAATTTATGAAAAAAATAAAAAATTATGTTTATCCCGAATAATATTTTTGTAAACAATAAAATAATTTGTTAAAATAATATTTTAATCAACAATTTATTTTGAAAAATAAATTTAGTAAAATCTTTATATAAATTAGTTTTCTTAAATTTAATTTTTTATTATTTTATATAAAGCAATCAAATTTAAAATAACATATTTCATATTTCAATCAAACATTAATTTCGAAAATAGATATATAATATTTTAAGAATATTAAAAGTACACATTTTAATAATATTTTAATCAACAATCAATTTTAAAACTAAATTTAATGAAAATTTATATAAATTTGTTTACACAAAAATATTTTAAAACAGTGAATTTAATCAAACATATATTTCAATAATCTTTTAATAAAGATAATTTAAAGTTCCCTTAAATTAAGTTTTTATATATTTTATATGACCTTCAGATTGAAAAATAATATAATTCATATTTTTACTTTTATATTTGTAATTTAATTAATAATCTATATAAATTATAATTAATATTCTCGTTGTTTTATAAAAAGTAATTTTGACACTTTTTCTTGTTATGTAAAAAGTATCAGTTAAGATTCCAATTCAGTTATATCTATTTTAACTTTAATGTTATTTACAAAATGCTTTGATTTTTGTAAATAATTTATCTGTATTAAAATCTTTTGATTAAATAGATGGATTTATTAAGAGTGTGAATGCATTAAGATCATTTATAATCTTTGTGAAAAATATAAATGTGTAGGTGGACTACTAGGACTACTTTGTATTATCTTGTATTACCTTGGACTACTATATATTATAGAACTTTCTATGTTTGGCTTACTAATATAGCTAAAAATTATGGGAACAATTTTTTCACTACATTTTCAATTTATCTTCAATTATATTTCTCTAAATAATAAAAAAAACAAATAATTATTTCAATAATATGAATTTAATAAAATACATATTTAAATAGTATTTTAATCAATAATTAAATTTAAAATAAATTTTAAATACAAATTATATAAATTTGGATTACATAAAAATATTTTAAAAATAAAAATTTAATAAAACATATGTTGCTATATTATTTTAATAAATTATTATGTGTAATATGAACTACGAGGTACTACTTGAACTACTATGTGTTATGCATATTTCTAAGAATCTTAATCTTCGTCTTATTGTTGATTTTTAGAAGATGAATCACATATATTACGTGATCATATGTCTATATATGTGCTATTTGTCAAGTTAGACATAAAATACTCTTAGTTTCTCAAATTAAAAAAATATTTTCGCATTTCCATACAAAACATCTTTATACTTCTATACTAATGTCTCGTTACGAAGGTCTTAATGAGATGGAAATAAAATTATTTCATTGTGTTTTAATCAACCTAATAATGTCTAAATACATTGGTATTACTTATAAATTTGAATTTTTGATGTGGTATTACTAATAAATGTTGAATTTCACAAAAGTATTACTATAAAGAAGGAAATATTACTATAACCTTGGAAACTACTAAGTTCAAGCATTTGTTAGAATAAGATATGATTAATTTTTCACGTTTTAAACATGTTTTTCATCTAATAGTTTTTATCACTTTTTAGACTATGTGTTTTTTTTAATTTTGAAAATGTTTTAGACAAGTTGTTTTCGTTATAAAAAGACTTAAATTACTGAAAATGAAATTTTTAGGTACATCGATATAACACAAATATGAAAAATATGTTTAAGGATTATTTGGTATTATTTAAATAATATCTAATAATCAAATAATTTTGAAAATAAATTAAAATAAATTATTTATATAAATTACTTTTTAAAAACTAATATGTTTATCCCTTCCAAGCATGTGTTAAATATGTTTACACGTTTTGAAAGTTTTATTTGTCTTAGTTATACCTAATAATCTTAGTAGTTAAAAATTTCTAAACATGTATAAGCAGTGTATTTTATGTTAAGACATGTTTTTTGCTAACGAAATAAGATAAGTATTTTGAATGTCTAGTAATCTCTAATAAATCCAGTAGTCCAACTTATTTCTTTTGGCACATAATAATATTTAACATTCTAGTAATCCAAACCTGTTTCCACACAACATAATACCAATTTTATACACAATATCCAAACATGCATTGCAATAAACATAACAAAATTTCCTAAACGATATTTTTAAATTAAATAGTTAAATTCGTAATTAACACTATTATATTCCAAGCCTTTTGTTCCTTCTGTTCCACCCTTCTTTCTTTTCTTCTTTCTCTGCATCTTTAGATTCTTTCTCAGCTTCTTCATCAACTTTGTTCCTATTCCATTGGAAACTATGCATATATATTTAGTTGATCCTTTCCAAATCTATTAGTTGATCTTTTCCAAATCTATTAGTAAATCAAATCTAACAGACATGAGAAACACAAACTCAAACCATAAAAGCAAAGATATTTAGTTACTCAGCCAAAATGAACTCTTCGTTGTAAGTAACAGTGAACAAGAATCTATGCAAAGTCCATGAATATTAAAAAAAATACTAGAGTACGTAATGCTGGAAACACTGGAAACAAACTCAGAAAAATAATCATAAAACAAGAACAAGATGTACACACATATTACTTAATCAAGTAAATCAACTTGACAAAGTATTAAGCTATGCATATTATTAGAAAACGAATTCACCTCTCAACCAAATTACCAAACTCGACAGTCTAGTGGAACCAAGATTGGATCTCAAAATAACTACATCTTCATTAGCCTATAACTAATATCTAGGAAAAATGCAAGAAACAGTCACCGCTGTTAGAAAGTGAACCCAACATTGGATATTCTACACGACGAAGTCAATAATGTCCCATGACCAATCCCCACAATGCATCCAATGATTAATTTGATGTATTTAAGAAACGCTCAACAAGTAATAGGGTTGGTGAACTGTGTTTAATTGAAACATCAAATTCTT